GTCCATTGTGTCAAGCACATTTGTTGCCATCATTGTCTTCGAAACATTTTCTTTCTACTTGAGCCCTTGATATCAGCTTCTCATTTTCCCCCTCCCTGCCCCCACTCCTGCCCTCATGAACCCTTGATAATTTATAAATTATTATTTTTTCATGTCTTACACGGACCGATGCCTCCCTTCACCCCTGGGATGGGGTTATGGGTAGATCATTGTGATCGGTTTCCCATATCTCCCTTTATCTTCCCCTTACCCTACTGGCATGGCTATTCTCCATATTGGTCCTGAGGGGTTTATCTGCCCTGGATTCCCTGTGTTTCTAGCTCTATCTGTACCTGTGTACATGTTCTGGTCTAGCCAGATCTGTAATGTAGAATTGGGGTGATGGGGGTGGGGTGGGGAGGAAACATTAAAGAACTAGGGGAAAGTTGTATGTTTCATCAGTGCTACACGGCACCCTGACTGGCTTGTCTCCTCCCTAAGACCCTTCTGTAAGGGGATGTCCAGTTGCCAAAGTACAGATGGGCTTTGGGTCTCCTCTCTGCACTCCCCCTCATTCTCAATGATAAGACTTTTTGTCCTGGGTCTTTGATGCTTGGTGCCTGATCCTATCGACACCTCGTGACCACACAGGCTGGTGTGCTTCTTCTATATGGGCTTTGTTGCTTCTTAGCTGGATGGCCACTTGTTGGTAAGCTACATTTCATCTTGTAGAGTTTTCAATAAGAAAGTTCTCTGAACCTAAGGTGGGTCACTGTAACACAGTGTGCATTACCTCTCTGAGTGTCAACCATTGTGTTTTCTATGTGACCAGAAAAGGTTCACTTTGGGCTTTGAACCCATATCTGCTAGGGTAAGTGACTTTCAACTTCATGGTAGCATTTCTTGCTTTACCCAATGTCTAAGTTAGTTCCTAATTATATATTAGAAACCCGCCTTGCAGAACCAGTGGTGTAGTGGGTTATGTACTGGGCTACTAACTACAAGGTCAGCAATTCGAAAACCACCAGGCGCTCCTCGGGGGAAAGATGAGGCTTTCTTTTCATATAGGAAGAGTACAGTCTCAGAAACCCACAAAGGTTGTTCTCCTCTGTCCTACAGGTCACTCTGAATTAGAATTGACAAATGGCAGGAGTTTGGAGGAATCTTACGGACTCTCTCGGAGGTTAAGCATATGGACTCTACAATCAGCTAAAAGAAGGTTCAAATCCAGTTTTGCTGCTTATATCAGAGTGCAAATTACGTCACTTCACTGAGGTTATCTCTCACATGTAACATCACCTGTCTCCAGGGTATTGTCAGGATGAAAAAAGATATAAAATGCTTAGCACAGTTCTTAGTATATTGTCAGTATTCAATAAAATGTTATTATTAAATATAATATTATTGTGTATGCATTCATTTAGCACCTATTTTAATAAAATGGTTATGTCCCAGTTTGAGATCATTTTTCTGGTATCAGGGCTACTTTTGGATAACATCCGACTGTAAGAGTTAACTTGTTTGCAGGTCA